GTGTGGGTGTCCCAGGCAGAGATTGTTCTGGAAGACCTGGGAGCGGGCAGGAACGTGGGTGTGAGTTTGCATTTTGGTCAGAGCCAGAGGTCTGGGCCCTCTCCAAGGTGTGGACGAGGGGGACTCAGGGAGAAAGGGGTGACAGGCGGTCAGGACCAGAAGCGAAGGGGGGAGGCGGGGTGGCTGGAAAGCGCCGGGGCAGAGCAGAGGGTGCCCCGTCCCCCCGGGAAGGACCCCACCCACGGAGGGCGCGTTGGCAGCGGAGGTGCGTGAGGAAGCTGGTCCTGCCCCAGGAAGGGGGCGGGCAGATGCAGCCAGCTGCAGGATGGGCACGGGATGGACAGGAGCAATCCGCATTGTCGGGTCCTCACGCCCAGACGGGTGTGAGCTTGCATTTTGGTCAGGCTGATTTATTCTGAGTACGTGATGGTAAAGTGAAGTGGATCTGTCGCTCTTGGCTGAAAGATTCACCAACCGATGGGTGGGCAGAAAACCCCGTCACGGCAGCCCCAGCCCACAGCCCTGCCCCTGGCCCCAGGGTGCGTTAGTTGTAGCCGCTGTCCAGCTCCTGCCCTGCTGCGGGGAGAAGCAGCTTTTCCTGGTGCAAGACACCCCGACAGGCCCCCGCGATACCCCGGCCCCCCGCGGTTCGGCTTGAGTCATGGTGCGTCACCCGTGAGACGGGCAGGCCCTCGGGGAGACTGAAAACGGGGGGGACGGTGGGTGCTCAGTGAAGTTGCCCCTCCCAGATGGTGATCGGCGTCCCTCAGAGGATCGTGGCCCACCACCTCCGCCCCGCGCAGACCAGCTTCCAGGACGCGGCAGCCTCCACAGTGATGGTCACGGTGGGGGACAGGAGCTCCAACCTCAGAGGTCTGGGAACTCCGCCCGGGGGTCGGGGGGGGCGCCAGGGCCTCTGCGGTCTCCTCTGCTCGTCCTGCTCCAGTTCACATCAGCTCCAGAGAGGCATTTGAGCCCAGCTTGCTCCTCCTTCCAGTCCTTAGACACCCGTGTCCTCTGCAAGCTGCAGTCGTGACGGGAATCCTCCTAGAGGAGTCCAAAGGCTCCCAGAAATTCCCTGTTTCCCAGCTGGAAATGTGACTTCAGCCCCAGGGCGCCACAGTAAAGACAGCCACAATCTAGCACCATTAATCCCAGAGAGTCATGACGTAGCAGGCCTCGCTGCTGATCTTGATGTTTATGACATAGAACATTCTCCTGAGTCCCGCATAGAACATTCGGCCCTGTCCCCTGCCCGTGACAGCCCTGGACAGAAAGCTGCCGGAAGTGAAAACATCAGTCCGGGCTGCTTTTTGAACCCACTTAGCTGGTTGGATCCAATGCCCTGTCCGCGTTTCTGTCCGCCTGCCGGCAGCAGACCCCGCGCGCCGTGGCGTGGCGGACACCCCGAGTGATGCTCTGCACGCTGGCGGGGAGCGTTGCCCTCCTGGTAGCCAGACGTGAACTCCTGAGCCCCAGGCTGCTGAGAGCAAGCAGCACGCCTCGAGGAGCCCGAGAGCAAGCGCTCCCGCCGGCCGCGGCTCGGCACAGCTCCCCTGTGCCACGGGGCCTCGGCTTCCACAAACCCTGGTGCCTTCGCCAGGCTCTGGGCAGCCCCAGGCCCCACGGAGGAGTGAGCGTCACAGCTGCTGCTCCCGACCCAGGCGCGGACGGCTGCCGGCTGGGGGCTCCTCGGGCAGGCGCGGGGGCCGCAGGCCTGGCCCACGCCCTCACTCCCTGTCTGCAGGCCAGTGTTCCCCGGCCCAGCTGGAGGTCATCGAGACCCTGCACCCAGAATCCCTCATCGGCTGCCAGCTCCAGTTCAAGCAAGACCTCTTCGACTTCCCGGCCCGGGACGTTTTCAGCGTGGAGCTGGGGTTCGACACTGCCCTGGGTGAGTGCGCGGGGCAGACGTGCCGGGCGCCGATGCCACAGCTCCCGCGGGCTGTCTGTCCAGAGGGCCGAGCCCGCCGGCAGCCCAGCCTGGGGCCCGATGCCGCCCCCGGGCCCTGCTGGTGCGGGGCCCGGAGTTGGCGCCCTGTGCGGGGGATGGCTGTCCGCGGCCGCTCCGCCAGCAGAAAGCACAGCTGAGTCAGAGCCCGAGCTCGGCTCTTCCGCTCCCTCGGCGAGGGGGCGGCGGGGCCCTGCCCTGCCCTGACTTGGGAACCAGCCCCAAGCTCAGACTGATGCCAACTGGCGCCCCTTGCTCTTAAGGAGAGGGTGTCCCTCGAGGGGTGACCTGAGGGACTAGCGGGCTAAGGACCATCCCGGCCTTGTGAGTTCAAGCACATTCCCGGCCCCCGCAGCCGCCAGCGCCGTGGTCAGCATGGTGGTCAGTGGTCACTGGGCCCTTGTTCCGGTTCCTCCTGAAACCATGCTTCATCCCGGTGTTAGGAAGAGGGAATTCCGGGGCCTGAGGAGGCCGCGCCTCCCCGGGCGCCGGAGGACGAGTGAGTTCTCCAGTTAGAAAGTCGGGGAAAGGAGCAGCCTCAGGGAGCGGGTGAGGGGACCGGGCGACGCTCTGTCTTCCAGGCCGCTACCTCTGCTCCATCACGATGCACAGGCTGACGGACAGGCAGCTGAAGCGCCTCAGCGCCAGGGAGACGACGCTGGTGGTCACCGCCTCCATCCCGGGCAGCCACTTCTCTGTGGAGCAGCTGGGCGCCGAGGTGCCCTTCAGCCCTGGGCTTTACGCCGACCAGGCTGAAATCCTTCTGAGCAACCACTACGCCAGCTCCGAGGTCCGGGTCTTTGGGGCCGTGGAGATTCTGGAGAACCTGGAGGTGAGTGACCCCACGAGCCGGCCAGGTGGAGGGCTGCAAGGGACGCGCCACGTCCGCGGTGCGGTGGCCTCTCCCCTGAGTCCCGCCAGCCTCACGGAGGATGAGACCGGGAACTCGGGCCACGCTGGCAGGCACAGAGCAGCCCCGCCTGACAGCAAGGCTGCCCCCCACTCGGGGCCCCCTTTCCCCACCTGCCGAGGGCGGGGCGTGAATGACAGGGCAGATCCTGGGGTCTGGCGAGCTGGGAGGTGACCTGGGAGAGGTCACCAAGGGCGCTGTGGCGTCTTCTGCCTCTTCTCATCTCGCTCCGCAAATGTGCCAGAACCTTCTGGGCCAAACCGGATGAGTTCCTCCTGGTGAGGGCGGAGGGCCGGGCGGCCGCCAGTGGGCCTGTCCCGGACGCCCCGCCCCTTCTTGCGTGGTTGGTGTCTGGGGAGAGTTCAGGCTGGGCGAGCATTCCCTGAAAGAGGCTTGATCAGAGCGCAGGAGGCTGGTTTGTCCTTTCCCTCGAGGCCGCCGCCGGTGGAGGGGCGTCTCCTTCCCCGACTGGGACACGTTCCGCCTCGTAGCTGTGGCTCCCCACCGAGGCAGTGGGACCTGGCCGGGCCCCCCTCCAGCCCTGCCCTCTGTTCCAGGTAAAGTCCGGGTCTCCAGCCGTGCTGGCCTTTGTGAAGGAGAAGTCTCTGGGGCTGCCCAGCTCTGTGACCTACACGGTCAGCCTCTCGGACCCCACGGCTGGCAGCCAGGGGCCTCTGTCCACCACCCTGACCTTCTCGAGCCCCGTGACTAACCAAGCTGTCACTGTCCCGGTCACCGTGGCCTTCGTGATGGATCGCCGTGGACCTGGTCCTTGTGAGTCACGGGACAGGACACCAGTTGGGACACCCGTGGTGGGGGCTGGGGGGCCCGATGTGGGGGCCTCGGGGAGGCACGTTCTGACTCACACTTAGGCTTGTTCAGCTGCTTTGCCTTTAGGGGTGGCAGGTCTCCCCCCCATCCCCCACTGCCACCCCCGACCCCCCCAACAGGCAAATTCTCACTCCCCCGTGAGCCTTTCCACAAAGGACACAGGGACTCGGGCCGGCCAGGCGGCCAGAGGCGGAAGGGGCAGAGCACTGGAGGGACAGCCCGTGGGCCGGGCGCTGCCCGGGGCTCAGGCGGCCGCCCTCCGACGGACGGCATGCACGTGACCGTTCAGGGGACTTGTCTTCCGCAGATGGGACCAGCCTCTTCCAGCACGTCCTGGATTCCTACCAAGTCATGTTCTTCACGCTCTTTGCCCTGCTGGCTGGGACGGCCGTCATGATCATCGGTGAGGCGGGCTGCCGGTGCCTGGCTGGCCCCTGCCCAGCCCCGTTCTGACCACCCTGCTCTCTCGCAGCCTACCACGCCGTCTTCACACCCCGGGAGCTCTCGGCGCCTCCAGCACTCTCCCCCGGAGCCAGCCCTCGGCACAGCCCCCACTGTGAGTGGCCCCCGCGTGGGCGTGGCCAGACGGGACTGGGGCTGCCAGGAGCAGCCTAGAGGAGTGTGGGGGGGGGGGCAGGCCCTGAACCCCGGGTCTCGCAGGCCTGGCCCCGGGCTAGAGGGGTGACGGCCTGTAGGGCGTATGTGGCAGCTGGGGAGAGTCACAGGGCCCAGCTGTCAGCCCCGACGGGCGCCTCCCCCAGGCTTCTGTGCGGGTCGGCGCTGTCTCAGCTCGCAGGGTGCACGCGGGACGGAGCGCCCACCTGCTGGGCTGCTGCAGAGGGCCACGCGGGAGTGGCCTCGGCCACTCTGAGGGGGGCCCAGGTGGAGTAGACGTCAGGCCCAGTCCTTTCATGGGCCGATTGGCCCTGGTGGCCTCCACAGAGTGGGGGGGGGGCCTAAGATGCGCAGGGAGTCCTGGGGCGTGCGTGTACCGGCCCCGCGGGGCAGCCTGGGCGGGCAGTAAGGGCGGCGGCCCCTGAGTGTTGGGTAAGAGGATACAGCTCTGGGGACAGCTGCGTTCCCCACTGTGAGAGACCCCACAGGCGTCCTGGCCCCCGAGTCAGTGTCCTCTGCCGGGCGACCGCTCAGGCATGTGAAACAGCGCCAGGGAGTGAGTGCCAGGCGGCCCGCTCGCTCCGCCGGCACGCCCACGCCCGGTGCCCTGCGTGGGCACGCACCCTCTCTAGCCACACCCGCCGCCCTGCGCCCGCGGGAGCCACGACCGGGGAGTGCACCGGGCTGCCCGGGCATCTGCTCCAGTGCTGCCTCCCGGACGGACAGTCCCCTCCACGCATGTCCGCCCCGTGGACAGATACCTGCAGCGGTCCTGAGACTCGCTGGCGCTTGTTCTCGGCAGCAGCCTCTCGGCCTTCCCGCACAGCGCTGCCCCTCCATCCTAGGGCCCCCTCAGCAAGCCCCTCGCCGCCCAGGGGGCCGGGGGGCCTCACAGGAGGGGGTGCCTGGCTCGCGAAGCGCTGTCCCGATGCGGCCTCGGGGGGCCCTGAGACGCCCAGCAGCCCGTCTCTCTGCGGCTCACTTGTCTCTTTCCCCCCCAGACTTCGCTGCCTCGTCGCCAGCTCCTTTCAGCGCCCTGCCTCCTGTCCGCAGAGCCAGCCCCCGCTCCGGGCTGTGGAGCCCCGCGTACAGCTCCCACTAGCCAGCCCCGGGAGGCTGCACCCCTGGACAGTCCTACCCCGTCCAGCCTGGAGCCAGCCCGGGCCCCGCGCCCCGGGCCTCGCCTGCTTTGCTAGGGCTGCAGTTAGGGCGTGCGGGATTGCTTACTCTTACGCGTAGGAAGTTAGGGTGTGGTTTGTTTTTTGCTTTGGAGCCTTGCAAAGCCTTGCAAAGGAATTCTCGGCGCATTCCTCTGCCCTCTGTCCGGGCTCCCCGGACAGCATGCAGTGTTCGCTTCTCCTGGCCTCCGAGCAGCAGCTCCGTGGAGAAGTCGCCTCTGGAGGGCGCCACCGCGGCATCTCAGGGAAAAGACCGGGTCACTCTTTTTGTGAGGGTTTTTCTCCGTGGAAACTTCCCTTTTCCTCACACCTGCCTGCTGCTGGAAGTGAGCGCAGACGGGCGTGCGAGCCCCCCCCACCCCGTGCCCACCCTACCCCTGCCCAGGAAGCCGCAGGCACGCAGCCGCTGCCCCACGCCACGCCAGCGCCTGCCCGCGGAGCCTCCTGGGGCCTCTCGCGCCGAGACCTGGGCTGCTTTCGCCCTTCCTCAGGCCACTGTGAATGACCAGCCCTCCCATCCTGTTTCTCTGTTTCATGAACTGTGGAAATATCTCCTGGGCTTGGCTGTGGCCCCTGAACCTCCCAGGGTCTGGCTCGGCCTCCCCATCCCACTTCTTGACCGGCCTGGGGACGTCTGGACCCGTGACGTCCTCGAGCTGGGGACAGGGGATCTCCCTCCCGCTGGGCGAGAAGCTGCGGCCCGCTGTGCCCAAGCACAAAGCCCCAGTGGTCCTCGCCCCTCCCGTACACTCCTCAGCACCTCTGAGCCTCTGTTCGGGCCAAAGGCCCCCAGGCAGCTCCCCCACCGGCCACAGAGCCCAAGGGGCCCGGAAGCGGTGTCTGGGAAGCTCCCCCCCTTCCCAGCTCCTCTTCCACCTCTGAGACCTCCGGAACCCGCCCTGGGCCAGGAGCCAGGTGGCTCAGGACGGCTGCGGGCACCCAGAGCCGGCCGCTCGGGGCCTGGCCCGCAGTGTATTTTTCTAAAGCTGAAGACAGGAAGAATTGTGCCTTGCGTATTACTTGAGCTCAGACTGACAACTTGGATGTAAATAGACGCGTTTCTACTGGGTTTATTTAATAAAGCTTTATGTCGTTTCCTAAGAGGAGCGTGGCCGTTGCTGGGACTGCGGGCGCGTGCCTGGAGGCAGCCGGCCCCGGGGACCTGGCTTTCGGTGCGGGGACTCTGCCGCCCCTCCTGCCCGCTGCCCACCTGCCTGCTCCCACTCCCGGGGCCTAGAAGGCGCCAGGCCAGGCGGGGGGGTGTCCCCTCACCGGTGCCAGCCCAGGCCTCTGCGGTCCCGCCCACACATCCCTAGCTGTCACCTCTCCCTCCGCCGTCCCGTCCTCCCATGTGGGTCCTGCCCTTACGCTGCCGCGGCCTCCCAAGGCCAGCAGCGCCTCCTCACTGACCGCTGGCCTGCGCACCTCTGGTGACCCAGTCCGTAGCTGCCGCCTCGGCCCTCGCCTGCCCGGCGCCCGGCCTGTTTGGGGCTCAGGCCCCTGTGTGGGCCCTCTGGAGCCTCCGTGGGGGTGTGGAGGATGTGTAGCTGCCCCGGGGCGGCTGGAGGTGCCTTGGGGAGACCACTGTCCAGGACGTCGTCCCACCTCCTGGAGGCCCCAAGCTGGGCACAGGGCACGCTCCATCGCCCTCTCCAGCCGCCAGAGCCAGCACAGCACTCCGGGGTGCAGGACGTGGGCGGCATGGCCTGTGCAGCTCGAGAAAGCGTCTCCCGAAGAAAGGCCAGTGCCCTCCACCTCACCGCTCCCTGGCTGAGCTGACAGTGGGGCCAGCAGAGGGGCCCTGGTGACCGGGAGCCTGCCCCTGCCAGGACGCCTCCCCGGGAGAGACCCCACCCCACTGCTCCCCGGCGCTCGCCGCTCAGCTCCGCCCCTGGTCACAGCCCCGCCAGCCACCAAAGCGCAGGCTCCTCACCACCGGGTCCCAGGAGGAGGCCCGGCCTCCCTAGCCGGTCACCCTGCCTCTGCCCAGCTTCCCCGACCTGACCTTGGCCCCCCGCTTGCACCCTTCCTTGTCCTTGGGCGGAAACTGCCCTCCAGCCCCCCCCAGCTTTGAGGTGGGAACTGGGGTGCCCCTCTCCCGTCTGAGCCTGCTCCTGTCTCGTTCCCACCGCGAGCTGGGAAGTGGGCAGGCACAGCGTGGCGAGGAGACCCGCGAGGCCTTCACCTGGACAGGCCTTGGGGGGGGGCGTGTCCTCTCCCTGAGGCGGGAGGGAGGGTGAGGCGGTCGCCCCAGTTCCCGCGGCAGGTCTGGGGCTCTCTAGCTGGTACACGCTGGTAGTTTTGCATATTGCCTTTGGTCTAGAGGTCTGTTTCCAGAGTAAAATGTCCAGACCCGCTGGTCCAGAATCAGGTCCCCGCCTGCTGGGGCGAGAGGCAGGAGGGGGCCAGCCAGGGTCACGCCACGTCCCAGCCCCGCGATGACGTCAGCTTAGGGCCCCACCGGTCTCGGCTGGAGACAGCGTCTGAGGTGGTCCGCAGGGGTGCGTCAGGTGACCGTGAGCATTTCACCCTGTGATGGGTTCACGGGAGTCAGTTCAGAGCCACGATCTTAGCATCGCAGGGCGTGAACAGTCGGCAGCGCGAGAGGAGGAAAACAGCCCGAGCCCACGGGTTCAGGGGCTGTCTACTGTTGTGTTAAGTTTTACGTTGTGTGTAATTAGCAAATAAAATTCTGCAGTGGGTTTCATTAGCAGCCTCATCAGGTGACTGTGCGCAGAGCGTTTACTGAAAGCAGATGCAGACTGCGAGAGCCAGGAGCACAGAAGCTGGAAGACCCACTGCTGCCCTGCTTCAAGGCAACACTGTCCCAGGGCAGCGAGGCCCCTCCTCGGGGTCCTCTGGGGAGCACAGTGGTAGGAGCCCGCTGGGCAGGCCTAGGCCCCCGGTGGCCTGCTCTGGCACTTCCTGGGCCAGTGACCTGGGCACTTCGCATCACCTCTCCGAGCCTGCTTTCCTGTCTGCAAAGATTGTCAAGTTGGTTATCACCTCCCGGGAGGTTTGATCCGTGCCCTGCTCGCCAGGGCACTTATTGTCCAAATCTTTACTGGTTGTTCAAGTTATGTGCTGGCAGCTCCCCTCGGGCCTGGTGGGCTGGGGATGAGCCAGAGGCAGGTGGGGCTTTCCTGGGGCGGGAAGGCTGGATCGGGCTCCAAGCACCTTCTCGGGCCCCAAGTCTGGGGTGTCGGGTGGGGCCTGGGGAGGAGCCCAGGAGAAGGCAGCACCTGCCTGGAGGGGCGCTAGGGAGACCCCGCTGCGGTCTGGGCTGGCGTCCCCTCCCACTTGCTAGAGTTAAGCGCCATGGTCTGGGGGTAAAGGATTTCTGGGCCCCCAACGGGCTGCCAGAGACACTGTTGTGGGGTAACCCTACCGGCCTGTAACATTCCCCGCAGGGTGTGTGGCTGGGTAGCGAGCTCCCGATTCATCCCATCTAACTGGACGCTGTCCCCGGCACCTCACATTTTGAATTATGAAATGGATAAAAACTCACTGGAAAAAATTCCACACAGTTTCAGATTCAAAGTGGGTTATTTAAGTTGATCATTGAAACCTATTGTATTAAGTCTTGTCATAAAATAGTCTAATTAAGGACGATCCTCATTGTATTTCACCCTGTAAATGGTGCGTGTGTACTGTTTCCTACGCATAGAAGCATACTTTGCCCATGAGAAATGAGAGACGTCCAGGTGCCTGTGTGCAGCGCCCTAATCTCAGAGAAACCCGAAGTTTCGCTGAAGAACCGAGCAAAGCAGGAAGAAGCCGCATCCGTCACCCCCCGCCTCGGCTGAACGCGGATTGTGTTCCGTTTGCTGTTCTTCCTTTCAAGAGTTTTCCTTATACATACTTGCACACGCAGAAGTAGTTCTTTTCCCAGAAAGGTCGGCAGGCGGTCAGGAAGTCGTAACCTGTGTTCTCACGCACGGGAATGTCACGGCAGCTTGCCTGTCCATCAGCGGCCTGGAGCGCGTTACCGCCCGCTGCACGCCCAGCCGGCAGACCTGAGCGGCTGCCACGCCAGCCTCTGCCCAGCCCG